AATAGTTTATGAAGCATACCTTTTACCCAGCCCCTGACTCTATTTCTTGGTCTTTCCCTATAAATAAAGTGGCAATATTTTTATTATCAAATATTCGTGAAGTACACATCCCTGAGCCTCCCCTCGCCCCTGAATACCCACTTGATTCTACTGAGGTGAAATTCACATAACATAAAATTGACCATGTCAGAGTGTACAATTCAGTGGCATTTAGTAGATTCACAAGATTTTGCAGGCATCACTCTATCTAGTTCCAAGCCATTCTCATCATCTCAAAAGGAAACTTCATAGCCATTAAACAGTCACCTCCCATTTCCCCTCCCCTGACCCTGGTGAGCACTAACCTGCTTTCCATCCCTATGGGTTTATCTATTCTGGAGATTTCAGGTAGATGGAATTACAATATATAAACTTTTGTGCCTGGCTTCTTTCACGTAGCATAACATTTTGGGGGTCCATCTGTGTGGTAGCATATAGCAACACTTTATTCCTTTTTATGACTGAGTAATATTCTACTGTATGGATATGTTTTTGTTATCCATTGAACCATTGATAGACATTTGGGTCATCTCCACCTTCTGGCTATTGCAAATAGTGCTGTCAGTAATATTTGTGTATGAGCTTTTGTTTGAATACATGTTTCCATTCTTTTGGGTATATACATAGGAGTGGAATTCATTGGTATTCTATGCTTAACTTTCTGAGGAACTACCAGACTGTTTTCTACACCATTTTACACTGTCCTTTGTGTTGTTCTGTTTAAATTACACCATCCTAGTGGGTCAGAATGTACCTCACTGAGGTTTGATTTGCATTTTCCTAGAGACTAATGTGGAGCATATTTTCATATGTTTGTTGGCCATTTGTGTATCTTTTTTGGAGACACGTCTATTGAAGTCCTTTGCCCACTTTTTAATTAGGTTGTTTGTCTTTTTGTTGCTCAGTTGTAGGAGTTATTTATATATGCGAATACTACATCCCTATCAAATAAGTGATTTACAAATATTTTCTCCTATCTGTAGGTTGCCTTTCACATTCTTGATAGTGTCTACTCCTGCACAAAAGTGTTTAATTTTGATGTAAGTCAATTTACCTATTTTTAATTTTGTTGTTTGTGAAATTACTGTAATGCCTAGGAGTCCACTGTCAAATCCAAGGTCATGCAAATTTACTTTTATGCTTTCTTCTAAGAGTTTTTATACCTTTTGTTCTTATATTTAGGTTTTTTAAAATTCATTTTGAATTTTTGTGTTTTGTGGGAGGTAGAGGTCCAACTTTGAACTTTTCCATGTATGTATCTTGTTGTTCCAGCACCGTCTCTGTTAAAGAGACACTTCTTTCCCTCATTGAATGATCTTGGCACCTTCCTAAAAAATTAAATGACCTTAGATGTATAGGTTTATTTCTGGACTCTCAATTCTATTCTGTTGGTCTTTATAATCTATCCTTAGATCAGTATCACACTGTTTTAATTATTGTAGCTTCGTATTAAGTTTTAAAATTGGGATGTATGAGTCCTCTTTGTTATTTTTCAAGATTATTTTGGCTATTTGTTAATCTTGCAATTCCAAATAAAGCTTAGGTTTTATTTCTTGAAAAAAAAAGAGAAAAGGCCATTGGGATTTTGATAGGATTATATTGAATCTATAGATCAACTCTGGAAAGTATTGCCTTCTTAACAATATTAAATCTTTGAATCCACGGATACAGAGTGTTGTTCCATTTTTTAGGTGTTTCTAAGCATCTAAAAACACTGCTTTTAACAACATTTTGTAGTTTTCACTGTACAAATCTTAACATATCATTGGCTAAAATGTTTCCTAAGTATTTTATTCTTTTGATGTATTGCAAATAGAATTGTTTTCTTAATTTCATTTTTGGATTGTTCATTGCTAGTGTATAGAATTACAATGGATATTTGTGTATTGATCTTGTACCCTGCAAATATGCTGAATTTGTTTACTAGCTCTAAGAGTATGTTTTTGTGTATTATTTAGAAAGTTCTATATATAAGATATAGATCCTGTACATGAAAAAATTTTATACCTTTGTATTTGATTTTCTTAGGAATTATTATAAATGGCATTATGTCCTAAACAAGTTGATTCTTAGTATATTGAAATATTATGGATTTTTATGTGTTGATATTATATCCTGTGACCCAGATGAATTCACTTATTGGTTCCAGGAATTTTTTTTTTAAAGATTCCTTGGGATGTTCTGTGTACACAGTTGTATCATCTGCTGTTGGGGACAGTTTTATCTTTTCCTTTCTAATTTGTATGTTTTTTTCCCCTTGCCTTTATTGCAATGGCTAGGAATTCCAGTACTGTGTTGAATAAGAGTGGAAAAAGTGGATATCCTTGCCTTATTCACTGTCTTAATAGAGTAAGTCACAATCTTCCCCTATTAAGTATGATGTTAGCTGTAGGGTTATTATAAAATTCCTTTCTCAAGTTGAGTTTCCCCTCTATGCCTAGTTGGCTGAGAATCATGAACGTGTGTTGGATTTTTTTCAAAAGCTTTTTCTGTTGTCAATTGACGTGATCATTTTATTTTCTTCTTTAGCCTCTTGATATGGTAGATTATATTAATCAATTGTTGGTATATTGAATCAGTCTTGTATACCTGGAATAAATCCCACTTGGTCATTGCAGTATACACGGAATGAATAATTTTTACTCATTCCTGGATGAATTTGCTAACATTTTGTTGAGTTCTTTTGCATCTAAGCTCATGAGAGATACTGAGCTGGGGTTTTCATTTTTGTACTGTCTTTCTATAGTTTTGGTATCGCCATAATGTGGACCTCATAAAGTGAGTTGGAAAGTATTCTCTTCTTTACTATATTCTTCAATAGATTGTGTGAAATTGGTTTTCTTTGCTCTGAAGTCTAATTTGATATTAATATAACTACTTCTTTTTTTATTAATGTTTACATGGTATACTTTTTTCTTCCTTTTACTTTCAACCTGTCATTGATTTGAAGTGGATTTCTTATAGGTAGCGTTGTTGGATCTTTTAATTTTATCCACTCTGCTTACCTGTGTCTTTTAATTGGTGTATTTTGACTATTGACATTTGAAATTATTGTGTTAGGGCTTAAGTCTGCCATTTTATTATTTGTTTTCTGATTGTTTCTTCTGTTTCTCAGTACTCTTTTCTGTCAGTTACATGAACAGTTTTTAGGATTCCAGCATAATTTGTTTATGGTATTTTTGAATATATTGTTCTGTATGGTTTTCTTAGTGGTTGCTAAAAGTATTACGTACATGCATAATTTATCACAGACTACTGCTGTCAGCATTTTACCACTTCCAATGCACTGTAGTAATCTTACTTCCCCTGAGGTTCATTTCCCATCCCCACTATTAAAATACAGTTGTCTTGTGTTTTCTCTACACACATTTTTTGGAAGTACAATTGACTTACAATATTATGTTAGTTTCAGGTATACAACACAGTGATTCAATACTTTAATAGATCTTCATATAAAGTTATTATAAAATATTGATTATATTCTGTGTACTGTACACTACCTCCTTGTATCTTTTTTATAATTGAGGCATAGTCAGTTACAATGTGTCAATTTCTGGTGTACAGCATAATGCTTCCTTCAGTCATACATATACATACATATATTCATTTTCATATTCTTTTTCATTAAATGTTACTAGAAGATATTGAATATAGTTCACTGTTGCTATACATAAGGAATTTGTTTTTTATGTATTTTTATACATAGCAGTTAATATTTGCAAATCTCAAACTCCCAATTTATCCCTTCCCACTCCCTTCCCCCCTGGTAACCATAAGATTGTTTAACTATGTCTGTGAGTCTGTTTCTGTTTTGCAGATGAGTTCATTAGTGTCTTCTTTTTCTTTTTTTTAGATTCCACATATGTACCTCCTTATATCTTATTTATTTTATACCTAGTAGTTTGTACATCTTAATTCTCTTTCCCCTATCTTGCCCCTTCAACCCCTCTCCCCACTGGTAACCACTAGTTTATTCTCTGTATCTGTGAATCTATTTCTGTTTTCTTATATTCATTCCTTTGTTTTATTTTTTAGATCCCACAAAGAAGTGAAAATATACAATATCTATCTTTCTCTGTCTGACTTATTTCACTAAGAATAATACCCTCCAGGTCCATCCATGTTGTTGCAAATGGCAAGATTTAATTCCTTTTTATGGCTCA